ATATTTTAAGCTGACTAATGCAACTATAGCTAAGCTGATCTAGCCAGCTAAGCTAGCTGATACAAAATAATCAGCTGGCTAATATGGCTGAATCACATAACTCTTGCTTTGAATTGGCCAATAGAATTGTAAATAAAATAAAAATTATATCTGTACTTCTAATGATAGTACAGTTAGGGATTTTACCAAATATGGAAATTAATTCTGGAATAATCTGCAAGAATTTGATTGGTTACCGGGCTGACACTTTTAAGTATTTTTTCAGTTTTTTAATCAAAATTCGAGATATTTCGTCATAACAATAAACAGTCAAAAATTATATTAACTGAGAGTAGAAAATTTCTAGTCTCAGGATCAATTAGTAATACTTCGGGATCAATGTTTTCTAAAAATATATAAAAAACTTAAAAAATCAAGAAATTTAATATGAAACTTATTAAAATTGGCACTTAACTTTTTTAAAAATATTTTATACAGAAGCTAACTACAATGTTACAAGCCTCATCCTCCACATCACCAACTGCTGAAGAACTTCCCTACATTCTCCAAGAACTAGTTAAGAAGTATAAGGACACAATCGGGCTCAGCCTTTGTAAAACGGCAGTATTACAAACATGGAGGCATGCTAAGAGTAATGCAGTAGCTAAGCGACTTCTATTATATTATATTTTTATTCCTGAACTTGTAGATCTTTATTTCAGTTTAAGTTCTTATTCGATTTGCCAAAAGCATTACAACCAACTCATTTCCAAAAATCATTTTTATCAGCGCCTAATGGATAATGCATCCTCTATTCACAAAAATAAGAAATTAAAAGCCAATACTAATTCTGATAATGATTCTGTTTCTAATTCTAGATCTTGTAAGGAAATAACTGGTATGAATGAGTCGCAATTTCTGTTAGAGCCTGAAAGAGCAGAAAACTTATTCAATAGAGATCAAATTGAAAATCAAAAAAAAATTAATGAAGATATGACATACTTCACTAGCGCAATTACAGAACTATTATATTGCAAATAGAAAATCAAAATGGGGAAATAACAGAACTAAAAAAAAGAATAAATGAATATTGTGAAGAAATTGTTCAATTAAGGGATCTATATCAGGAAAAATGTGAAGAGAATGAAAAACTCGTTGAACAATGAAATTCCCAGCATAGTGATCAGAATAAACGTATAGAAGAAGTTATTAATATCACACAACTTAAACAAGAAGATTTATATGAAGAGATTGAATCTCTAATTAGAGATAATAATATATTTTCTTTAGAAAATCTATTAAACTATAATTCACAAATATGGCTAAGTAAACATAATCAGGTTGCCGTTAAATTCATCGAGATACTAACTAACAATAATCTTAATACAGATTTTTTAGGTATCGAAAAAACTTTTAAAAGGACAATGACTATCGATTTAATGTATGGGTCCAGACATAGGAAATATGTCTTAGAGATAAATTTTTTAGCATCAGCTATCAAATATTCTATAGCGCGATCAAAAACTATTATTAATATCGATAGCTATATGACGTGTTCAGGAGGCTACTCTCGTTTTCAAAACTAGCTAGATGAGCTATCAGAAAAAGAAGATCCTCTTCCTGAAGGACTTTTGTTCTTGGCATTTAATAATGAACAAAAGGGACAATAAAATTATCTTAATCGGGGAATAAATACTGTGATATTTCATATCGTCACCAGTTTTGTTGCTTTTAATATGGAGCTTCAAAATCGTATTCAGTATACTAATACACCTTGGGCATTTAATTCTCTTAACAGGCTACAATTCAAAAATCTTTTTGAGATTACGGCCGAGATGTGTGAGGCAATAGACCAAGAACTATATACTTATCTTGCTAAAATTCTTGAATTATTAAGTCAAGAAAACTTATCAACAGTTAATGAAATTGATTCTCTTGTAGCTAATGTAGGGTCTAGCAGTTGATATAACAAACAATGTCCTATTTGTGATGAAAGAAATATCAACAATTGAAAGCAGATTTGTCCTAAATGTGGAACTCATCTACCTACATTGGCGGAATTACAAGATCAAAACGTTTCTGAATTAGAGAAAAATATTACAGAATGACTAATCATTTATAAACCGTATAATGCTAAAAAAGAAACCAAAAAACCTACTATACCAAGAATTAGTGTTACTCAGAAACCATCTACAGATTCGGGGTTAATGTCCCAGAAATATTTATTCCTGACCCTCTTAATATTAACCTAAATTCAACAATAAATGTTGAAAAAGTTCTTTCCCATATTGAAACAATTTCAGGAATTAAGGACAGGGTGCGCAAATGGATGGCTATTATATGTGACAGTTTTCCATATCACCATATCATTAAAATTAAGAACAAATATTCCTGGTTGATTCTTATCCCCGAACAACTATATGTAGAGATGAACATGCTTAAGGCGTATGTGGAATTGAATTGGTGAGTCTATACTATAGCCGTTATTTATTTTTTTATTTATATCATTATTTTTTTTATTAAATATAATTTTTTTACTTATTATTTTTACTTATTTATTTTTGATTTCATTTTTATTTATCTAATATTTTTATTTTTTTTATTTTTCGGTTACTATGGGGAACGCTATATGACATCTTGATTTATTAAATATTCGATTTATAATTTTTTCTTCATCTATAAAGGAATCTCGATCTCAAACAATTTGCGATATGTCAAGGATATAAGACCGAGAATCAATTAGCTTATTTCAAGAAATGTCACGATCATCATAAGTCTTGGGATTCCATTTGTACTATTTATCGTCAAGCAACGGCCATGGAACTGGCGTGGCCATACGTCAAAAATCATTCTAATCCATCAGTCGAAGGATACTTAGCCTGGGTAGAGAAACAAAATGATCCATTTTATAAATAAAATTCGAGCAGGTAATATTACTATCTTTTTTTTTTAAAGTATTTAAGAAATTTACCATTGTTATTTACTAAATTTTGTCAAATAGATATTTGTTTATCTCCAGGCTATTATTAATTATAGAACCGCTATTAGGAATAATAATTCATTGTTAAAGTGGGCTGCAAAAAGAATCTTTTCGCCAGTGTGGTCAGCACGACATCATCCAATATACTGTTTCATAAATGTTGCGAATGAAATTCAACTGATGCAGCTTGATCCGACTATACAAGAGATTGTAGAAAAGAATAGTATAGTTTCTCGATCAGGACTTTTTAATCAGCATCAGGGACTAGATGCTGTTTTAGAAGAGATAAATAAAACCTTGAAAACGTTGATACCTCCCGTTCCTCAAGCATGTCATTGGAGAATCACTGCAAGAAATTGCAAGAAATTCCTACAAGTAATTGCATTCAAATTAGTAAAATAAAAGTATAGTAATTAAAACATATATACTAATTTATAAAATTTAATTACTATAAAATTAGTTAGATGTAATTTTTTCAAGTCTATTGGATGTAACGATCTTCAAGCGGCTAGCCCAAGAACACGATCGGAGCCAATTTCCGAATATCAGAGATTTAGGATTTCTCTAAGAAAAAATAATTTTGTTAACTTTCTGGAATCGAGAAGTGTTTAAAAAAGCTTGGGAGAGAAATATGAATTAAGTGCACAGCTATTGAATTTTACCAATTTAGCAAAGCAGGCACAAAATGAATATATCACTAAAGTTTTTTGTGAAAACAGTTCTGATCCTTTTTTTAGGTCAATTCCAATCACAAAACAAGAAGAAATCGCACAACAATCAGAAGCAAAAATGATCAAAGCAGAAATCATTTCCAAGATCGAGGCTTTTCTTGAACAGATGAATGAAAGTGTTCAAAATGTGTATCGTGGAATCAGGAATAAGAAACATAGGGATAGAGGTTGGACCTGTTGAGAAAATCCCTACCCGGGTATTATTAAATTACCCGGGTTATCCGGGTAATTTATTATGATCATATATCAACAATTTCTACCCGGGTCCAACCCCTACATAGGGATTTATTAATTATACTGGAAGAGGTAAGGTTTTTATTTAATTCCGATTGTGAACATAACATTGATTGTGCTGAAAATTTAGAAATATAATAAATTTAATTCAATTTTGAAGTATTTTGTAATGAGGGGTTTCAGAATTAAAAAAAAATAGCATATGACGAAAATAAGTAGAAGCCTAAAAAATCTTATTTGTATATCAAAATTTTGAAATCGGTAAATGAAATGGAAGTGTTTAAAGACTTCTATTTAATGAAATAAATAAACTTTTCAACGACAAAAATCAAAAGTCGATACAGTCAATACATTGCTCATTTGAAAATAAATATATTATTTATTTCTTTCAAAATTAGGTTCCACATGTTAATTCTGAAACCTCTTAATAGTTGTTTTTATTAATTGGAAGACATGTAATTGCGAAAAAGAATTTAATTTTTTATTGTAAAATTTTATTATATATTAAAATAAAAAAAAATTTAATTAAAAATATAAATTTACAAAAATTCGAATAATTATTTTTCTGATATCTATAAACCATACAAAATCATTAAATTATGCTTTAAAAAATAATCCTGCAGTTGCTCCTATAAACTGTTTAAAAAAATCCTTTAATTATCCCAGAATTATCAAGATAATTTATGATTTCACAGACATGCATGTCCGCGAAATCACATCATATAGCGAATTGTACACCTATCCACACGGCAATATTACATTTAGTGACGACAAATAACTAGGCTGTCCTAATCAGAGACTCTCAATTGCCACTGTAATGCATATCCACTGCCCAACCATAGCACAATTCTAGACTCCAGAAGAATGAAACAAATTAATAAAATATTGGCCCGGAAAGTAAATAAATTCTGAAATCTCTACTACCTCGAGAAAGTCATTGATTCTGACCTACACAAATTTTAAACTCGTCCTTTTATTCTTGAGTTTCCGGGTTAATTTTTGTTTATTACTGTTCATGAAATAACGATCTAAAAAAAATTAGATTAGTAATGAAATAAAAATGAATTAAAATAAAGATGCCCAATATTTCTGTACTTATCTCTAAAGACCCAAGACCCATAGTTAGAAGTTGAACTACAATGATGACTAGTCAGTAAGGTTGTTAATAGGTTGGATTGGGTTGGTTTGGGTTGACCAAATCTTGAACCCACTCCACTAAATTAGACTTACTCTAATGCTTTACTCCGGGTTGCTTCAGGTTGCTCCAAATTTAAAGAGATAATTTTAAATTCACTCCAACCTGGGTTGGGTTCTACTCCAGAGTAGGCTGCTTCATTAACAACCCTACTAGTCAGAAATCAATCTATCTAATGTAGAGAAATTCTCAAAAGAAATTTACTCAATTGATCTAACGAAAAAAAAGTTAGTAAAAAGTAACCAGAGTAAAAAACAAGAACAAAACGAAGAACCCTATGCTCCTATAACAAATGCCAATAAAAATTCTCTAATTCGTACTCCAAGTTCTGGAAAAATCAATCTTCTAGGAAAAATAGTTCTAGCCCAATATAAGAAAAGGAAATGCTGGACCTTTGAAATAGAAAAATTCAACAATATTAGCGAAAAGGTCGAACAAAAAAAAAGCTAAGAAATTTTAATTAATATAGGCTTAATTTGATTGGCCAATCATTATAATTGCAGAATGATCTGGAAAAGAACTTTAAAACAATCCAACTGATGATCATTACTAAATAAAGTGTAATCATCACTTACCAAATTTGGTAAAATCCCTAACTGTAGTAAGATCATTAAAATCAGCCTTGTAGATCATGAAATATGTATAAAAAATAGTTACAAATTTTTTTTTTTTATAATTCAGCTGTTCTGCCACTTTTTATTGAGATTAAACTATACTAAAAAATTTACATTCCCTAATAATAGCTATACTTAATTCACCTATAAAGTAACATATTCACGCTTTTGCCAGGTATGACTTGCCTCAGTAGACTTCAAGCCTCTCTCCGGGCCCCTAACTTATTAGAGGTTATCTTTTGGTCATAGGCTGATGCCACACACCATATTCAAATTAACTTTTCTTTTACAAACTGAAAAACAAACACAAATACAAAGAGCATAACAAAAATGGAGAAATACTACGGCGTCGAGTTTTGGTCTATCTAAACCAATAAAACTAAATAAAACAAATAACAAAAAAAAAAAGAAAAACAAAGAAAAGAAAAAAAAGATAGCACTATTAAACCTGTGTGAGATTGTAAAAATTATATAGTACTACAAATAACCTAGACTAAACTCTATGCTAGTTATTTATGTCTATATCCAGAATGTAAAAATATTAAAAACCATTCAGTCTTGAAGTAGAGCTTCAAAGGTTGAAACTTCTAGATGCTATCTCATCTTGTCGATACGTCTTCTGCAATGTTTCAAACATTATCATATTATCTTATATTATAACTAAAAGTAGACATATACATATGTACGTGTCTTTTCTTTTTTAGCAGTAATTGTTGTTGTCGATCTTTTAATAGGAGTACAATATTTTTCTCACTTTTTGGAAAAATTTTATAAAGACCAAGAGTGGGGATATAGAAGAGGGTTTCGGTTTGCAGGTAGCCTTAAACTTTGATAAAGAATGTGTTGAAAACTCGCTTGTTGTTCTCCTTAGACCAACTATCTTTAACTTCGTCAGCAGAAGCAGAGCTTCTATTAAAATTTTTTATATAAGGGCACCACCTTCTTGCTAGTTATCTTGTACAAGAACACTTTTAACTTGCATACTGAATATATAGAGAAGTCCAGAAGAAATATGGAAATTCTTGACCTCTATAAAAACTGTTATTTATAGTTGTCTTTTCTACTTTTCTCCAACAAGTTTCTGTTTTCGTTAGCCATAAGTTTGGTTCAAGTGATCGTCAGGGAGAGTTGTGAGAGTCAATCGAATATTAATGAGTTACAATTCTTTAATATGCTTAAATTTTTTAAAAAACTTTAAAGAATTACTATATAATAAATTTTTACATATAGAGCCATTGCAATAGAAAAGACCGAAACTCAGAAATATACAATTTTGAAAAAATCATGTTTATTTTATTCAGACTGATCTGAGTCAATTAAAACTTCTGTAATTTGATTGGTTAATTATATCAGATAATCTTGTGATGTGCAAATTCTCTAAAAAAAAAATTATAAATATTTCAATTTTTTATTAAGCAAATCAATTTTTATTTATAATTGAAAAATGTAGCCCATCTTGAAATTTATTTGAATCTTACAAAAACTCACTTTTGATTTCCAGGGGAGTTTGGGCCCTTTCTACTGCAACGGCCTCATATATTTCATGATATATTAGACTAATTTTAATAATTTACTATTATTAGAATTGCAATAACATCCTCTACAACTTTTATTTTTTTGTATAATCAAAGTTAGCTTCTTTGGCTTCTTGCTTTTATTAGATTATAGAATTATGTGATGTCTTTTTCAAGAGGCTTCAGACAAGTACATTTTGACAAGAGTATATTTTAGTCATACTTGTACCTAATTTAAGTAGTTTATCTATTGCTAGGTTCTATACTAGATGCTGTATTTATAACCTACTATTATTTAAGTTATTTAATTAAATCTTCTAATTTGAGTTTCCTATGCCAATCTATCTAACTTTACTTAAAACATGTGATACATTAGTCAGTCCAAGTTCTAAAATCATCACGTACTACCTATAGGACTACTAACATGATTAAGCAATTCATTCTCGAGTGTATTATCTATTAGAGCAGTCTGGTACCCACTATTACTGTATTATCTAGGCTTCTTCAATAACTTATACTGAGTTTGAGAACAAGTACTTGCGAGCTGAAGCTGCTACAGTTATCTGCTATTGCCCTTATAGAATTCACCCAAATCTCAGCACCACTATACAGACTATCTCCTGTATACTTGTTACTCCAAACTTCCAATTTAGATGGCTCAGAAGGGCTGTGACCTGCCTCTAGCCTCCATGGTTAAGTCCTTTTCCTTTGGTTACTTTATGATAGCTAGGTTAATAGAGTGTCTTGTCAAACATTTCAGTTCTATTCGGTTTTCCAATTTTCTGATTGATAATCCTTTATATAGTACTGTTGAAAATCTGTGCTATCTCTCTATTTAGGTCTTACTAAGCAGATGTATATTAACCCTGGATTTATACAGCAGTTTCACTCAGATTTTGTGTAATTTGTATATCACACTATTGTTTCACAGCCTTCCAGTATAAGCTGATACAATCAAACTACAAATATCAATCTATCTTTTTATACACAGTTTGCTATAACATGTACTAAGAATTCAAATTTTTATTATTAGTAGGATTTGAACTCTAATCCTGCCACTT